CAGGCACAGAACTACGCACACAGTATTTAACACAAACAAAAGCCTCCTCAGAGTTTTTAACCACCAGACAGAAGAAACTACATCTTTGAAGAGTGAAGCAACCCATGTCACCCCCACCGCCCCTCCAGTCCCCACCTGGAGGATGCCCAAGGGGAGTCTGATGTCTTCACAGGCTGGCAGCAGCTGCCGGGTCAACAAGGCAAACAAAAGCCTTGGTCTCAGACCTCGTCCCCTGCAAGACCTTCCAGAAGCCCAAGTGCCCCCACCCCACTGGTGGCGGCCCGTGGTGGGGATAAGGCAGGGCAGTGGGGCTGCTCCTTGGTAGTCAGGCTGAGTGTCCTGGGTTGAGTGAGTGGTGGAGTTTTTTGGTGGCAGGGGAGGGGGCTATCGGGGTGGCCCCCTGTGAGAAGTTTCTCGAAGCTCCCCCGGCTCCAAGTCAGCTCCACTTCTGTTTGGGAAATTGAGCCCATCGGCTGCGCCTCTGAGATAACGTATTTAAGAAGGGACGTGGTGAGGAGCAGTGGGACTGGTGAGGAGGAGTTGCTGCAGCTGCGTGAACACCAAGGTCAGTGGAGGAACGGAGGAAGAAAGGAGGGGGGAGGTGTGCCGGAGCAGAGACCCCCCTGTATCCTGTGGGGAGACGGCAGGGCGGCCCCCCCTGACACCCATGGAGATCTACAGTGGAGCAGACATTGATTTATGGCCTGTGGCTTCTGCTTGCAATAATCAAGGTGCTGTGCCCAAAGAAGGCTGGGGTCTTGTGGGAAAAGGCAGCCCCGCTGCTGTAATTCAGCGCTGGGAGGATTGCAGCATGCGGGGGAGTCCCACGCCGGAGCAGCTCGGGAAGGGCTGCAGCCGTGGGAGGGAATCCAGTCGGAGGAAGTTAGTGACCCATGACGGAGCAGTGTGGGGAACGCTGCGGCCCATGGGAGGGACTCATGTTGGAGAAAGTTTGTGGAGGACTGTCTGCTGTGAGAGGGGGACCACGATGGAGCAGGGGGAAAAAGTTCCAGAAGCTCCCCCCACCGAAGATGGCAGAAGCAGCAACACTGACTGCACCCCCCATTCCCTTCCCCTGCACCACTGTGGGAGGAGGTAGAGATATCGGGAGCAGAGCTGAGCCTGGGAAGAAGGGAGGGGTGGGGGGAAGGTGTTCTCAAGATGTGGCAATGCTTCTCACTGGCCTACTCTGTTAAGTGCTGTTATAGTGTCTGTAATAAATGTATGTTCTTTTATCCTTCCCCTAACGAGTCTGACTTTTGCTCGTGACCATAAAGGGGAATTTTTCCCCATCCCAGTTCTATCTTGAACTCCAAGCCTGGATCTCTGTCTCTTCTCATTGCCAGAAGGCAGAGAGAGTGGCTGCGTGGTGGTTGGCTGCCGACCAGGCTCAAACCACGACAACAGCACAAAAAGAAAATTGCTGTTTCATCCCATTACCCTGCCTCTATTACAAGAAAAAAAAAAAAAAAAAAAAGTAGCTGAGAATTATTTTCTGGTAAAAAGAGTCAAAACATTGACTACCTATAAATTCAGCATCCTCTGAAGTAGTAAAAGCAGGGTGCTTTCATCTTGCACTGCTCAAGAGGCATTAACATCTGTCCTAAGGAACTGGATGCGGTTCATGTCCTCCACCACCTGAACAGTAACTTATTCCCTGAAGCTCCTGGAAAGCACAAACTTCACCTTGACTCTGACCACAAGTTCTGCTCACGAAGCAGCAGGTTTGGAGAGATAAACTCTTACCAGGGTACACGATACGTTTGTCCTGCACAGGCTGGGGCTCATGTTATGCAGTTGCTTGTACATAATGGAGGTGGTAATGTGCCAGAAGTATTCTCTCCCTAAGAGTTGGGCTCTTCACTGAAAGTTAGCGTAATATCTGAAGGACAAAAATTACTACCTTGCTGAGAAAAAAAAAAAAAATATTATCATTCATTATGATAATTCTGAAAATTCTATCACTTTTCAACAATACAATGATCCATTTTCCTTTTAAATCTTGCTCAGCTTTTATTCTCAAATTACTTCTAGTGGAAGTGAGTACCATTGATTTCACGAAAAATGTTTATCGGAATTGAATTTATCACCTCTGCTTTAAAGACAAATATGAAAACTGGGCCAATAAAGTTACCAAAAAAAAAATATTGAAGTTCTCCATCCATTTTCTCTGTGGTAGTCATAACTGTAGCTATTTTAACCACTCATTCTCTTCAATCTCTCTATAATATTTCTGCTGTTTCATTATTTTTGTTATTTTCCAAACCTTAAGGAACCTTCAGTACAAAGTGTTTGCCCATGATGCCCAGAACACAGTTCTGGACTGATCCAGGTAGTTTTAAAACTCAGAGTTGTGCGAGCACTTTTCTTTCTCTAACTATGCCGTCCTTTACATGCAAAATTGAACTTTGTTTGTCACTGTGAGCAATTCCACAAGCTTGATAAGGTACCAAGGTACCACAAATACTTTTTGCGAGCTTGACTTTAATAACCTTCACCATTTTCTATTTTTCATTGGTCATTCCTTTTCTAGATGAATTTTAAAAACCTTATAAATTTAAAAAAAAAAAAAAAAAGCAGCATAAGTTAATCATAACTATTGGGAAAAACCCAGAGCATAAGGAGGGTTTTAGAATTTTACAGTCTAGTATAATAAATTAGTAAACAAATTAGCGTTGTAAACCTCTCCACAGGTATGTACATGTGGCAGAGAAGGGTAAGTATGCTACTGACTTAAGAGGATTTTTAACAGCTTACTATCATGAACTATGTATTACTGTCAGAGTCTCAAGTAACAATAAAGGCCTTTTATTGTGCTCTGAAAATAAACTTGATACTGACAAGTTATGGCCAAGATAGAGTATCTAGAAAGAATCTAAGAACTTCAGAAGTAGTAGAGGGGGTAGCAACTCTTTTAATAACCTTAACAGATCTTGGCATTTCTTCTGACTCAAGCACAGAAGTCCCATCAGTTTGAACGGTGCAGCTGCTGTTAATGGTCTAAAGGCCAGTTTACACAGGATACATAATCCAAAATCTGCTTAATCTTACCCATTTTATTAGCATAAAGCTAGTGAGAGAGTTTTAGATCAAGTAGTATATCCATCTTCCTATTTGCTGCTTGAAGTCAGTCTTTTTTTATAACTAATCTGATCAGAGCACACACAGAACGACAAAACACACAAGCTTTACTTCCCCAAAGAGCAGCCGCAGAAACTCCTGACTTTTGGCCAGCTCAGGAACGGCTGCCTGCCTTCTTACCTGTAAGAGAGGAAGGGAGCTTTCTCAGAGCCCCATGTATTTCTGTTCTAGATTAAATCACCGTTCCTCCTGTTGGAAAGGTATTCAGAGATTGCAGAGATCACCGCTGGACTGATACTGATGCGGCACCTTAGCAAAGCCTTTAACATTACAGTGGCCATACTTTCTCCAGCAACCAAGCTAATCCCTAAAACTCTTTCAACACAGCCATATTTTTGCTATCATTTAAGAAAACAGAAGCTCCAGACCACTTTCATTGCTACCAGATATTATTCCTCAGGTGTGAATAATAATTTATGACTGATAGTGCCAGAATGGTATGGGACACAGATGTTGTCCCTTCATATTTCAGAATATGAAGGACTCCCAATTCATCCTCTCCTTCCCTCATGACATCTATTAACTCATCCATAGGGAAAATATAATTTCTATCCAACAGTGAAAAATCAAACATCAAACTCTTCAACATATTATCAGACTGTCCAACCGCCTGACCCTGCAAAGACTTAGCTTTAATCTTTATGGGCTGCAAGTATCCTCTTGACTCCAATCAACATAGAAGAGAAGCATATGTGTGAACTTTAGCAAAGCTGAGGAATCTGGGATTAAGAGCTACTGCTTTTGTTTTGGCAAATATACAGTCCACAATATAAAACATCCAAGGAAAAAAGCACAAATCTTTTAGCCATCTCTCCCACGGTTTTTCACCCGCTTCACATCACAACAGAAATGCTCTGCAGTGGGCAGAACTCTGACAATTTGCAAGGAAATCAAGGCCAAATGGTGCTACCCACTATCGCAGGAGTTATTTTGGCAAGCTTGCACTTCAAATGCCAAGCAGCATCTAAGGATTTGCTTGGACATGTGCATATATGCATCTCATTCATTTCAACAACAGGGAACTCCACATATTTTGTTATTCAAGCTTGCCAAATATTTGAACTAGAAGCTACTGGATTTTCATGTATTTATACAGTATTAAGTGCCTAGCTACTTTCTCAAACCAAGATTACATTTCAAACGTTCATTTCTCAAAATCAATGCATCTGGATGACTTGTTTACCTAACAAAACAAGTCCTGCCTTAGTCCATTCCTTTTTCTTGTATTGTCACTGCCATTTCCCATATGAGCCTGTAATACTTAGGTGGTCAGCATTTTGGAAAAGGGAAGTTTCATTTGCTGGTTAAAGATGATAACATGATCCTAGTAGCTTTCTCAAGCTGATGTTTATCAAACTTTTTTTTTTTTTTTCTTCTTAATAAGGTGGTTTGTGTCCCTGTAGCTACTTATTTAGCAACTACACACTGCAGAGTGGAAGGAAACCCCCCCCCCCTCAAAGATTCATTTAGGCAGTAAGCCCATAACAAGGCTGCCACCTGAGCTCCCCGCACCCTGAGACACGTGTATACTCTTTGCTACAAGCAAGTGAAGAACACGAACACTTACGGTATGAGCACGTAACTCCCGAGGTACACCAGGGTGTGACACGGCTGTACATTTGCAACTGTTCATGCCTGCATTCTTCTCCGACAGAAAAAACACCTCTAGGCCATTTCTTTTGACGTGAAAGGAAAACAAAACTGAAGTGATAAATCCCATTAGCGGTTTTCAGCAGGTTTTGCCCGTCCCCTTTTCTTTTTTAATAAACAAAATGGGAGTCCTTACTTAGTTTCCAGATTAAGAAGTATTATTAAAAGTAGTTACAGACCAAATTACAACCCTTAAAGCACCACCAAAATGCACTACAATATTCTTTTATTTAGTTTACAGAAGAGTCTATCAGTACAGGTTGCAGAAAGAAAATGTTTAGTGCTATTTACAATTTGTTTTAAAACTCTGCTCTATACAAATTTAATTCTGATCAGTATGAACAATATTTTTGTAAATCTACTGCATATAAAGCATTTCATCAAAGCAGTAACAATGAATAAAATAACCTGATTACATTTGAATGATGCCAATCATTCGAAAAAACGATTACACAGAACATCTGTAAGAGTTGTGGACACTTAAGTACAGAACACAATGTCAACCTGTGACTCATTTTTTTAAAGGCTAAAGCTATTTATATGGAATATTGTTCTATTATACTACACGCCAATCTATATTTAACTTCTATAGTTATGTATTTTATAAGATTTTTATTAAATATATTCTACACATATTTGTAATTTCAGCCAGGAAGAATTCCTCCCCAGTGAAAAAATATAAAATCTTTTATATTTTTTTTAATTTTTATTTATTTTTATTTTTTACAGATTTAGATGAAACTAGCTCATGCTTTAGTGCTGTGCAAATTTCTTTAGCATATCAACATTTAAATTATTGATATGAAATAAAAGAAAGGCATCCTTTTTAATTATGTATGCCCTCAAAAATCAGCTTCTGATTTTAATACAATTGCAAGCACTAATACCAAATGCAGATTATGTAAAGAAACAAAACTAGTACTATGGCAGAGGTTCTTCTTTTTGCTTTTTAAACTTTAATAATTCTTTTGAAGTCTCTAATGAGTAAGCATGACACTGGACACTAAGGTACAGATGAGAAAATGACTGAAAAACACCAATTGCCAATATTAAAATACATAAAATTGACTAGTAAATGATGTTTTCTAACATTTATGCACAATAATAAAAGCCTATGAACTACAGGAAATTACCCCTCCCATATTAAGGCTAGGAAATGCACTCTCTGCACTTGTTTGTGCTGTCTGAATAAACACTCAACTAACGTACGAGATCAGAGTGCACGCAGTAACGAGAAAAATCAGTTTCATCAGCCCTCTACAGAGTGCTTTTAAATTACAGGCACATAGTTTTTTTTTTGTTTGTTTGTTGCAGTGAAAATATATATAGTTAGACTTGGTCTAGTTAGTATTCTGTGCCAGTTCGGCCACCAAGGTTGACTTAGGTAGAATTGACTTAACAGTTTTTCCTTTGATTTGGCCATAAGTGAGATTTAATTATAGATATACTATTTTCCAGTGTTGCATTATGCATTGTAGTTTATTACTAAGTGTCTCAAATATTGTTAAGATTGTTGATGAGAAATATACTGTCAACCATATTTAGTGCAAATTGCATCTAGAAAGCTTGACTGGTTAGATTCTGTTAATGGAGATTTTTGTGGTAGCAAAATGATTCCTGCTATGGAAAAGAATACGTTAACTTTTCTGGAGATTGAATTCTTTCAAGAACTGATGTACTATAAGATTATTCAACAAACAAAAAGCAGGAATTAAAAAAAAAAAAAACAACAACCAAACAAAAGAACCAAACAATGAAAGTGTTCATAGATCTTTCTCTTCAAAGGAAAAAAAAAAAGACTATGAGACAGTGTTCATGTAATATTTCAGTTCCATGGATTTACAGACAGGCTCTTCCTACAGGTGTCTGAAGCAAGGTAGGGCCTCTTCTATTCCAGCAGCATGAAAGACAAAGACTATATTACATCACACTTAGCAGGTAAAGCTAACAGGGTTTACAGGATTACACAGCAATTGCTTTCTCCAGTTTTTTCACGGTTTCTTTGACCTGTGGAACAAGAAGAAAGTTTTGTTTACCCATCATTTCTGAAGCAATTAGGTTGTTTTCTGTGTGAATATGCATTATACGAGTATATCTCTTATTATTTTTAGTTAAAAAATATATTTATTATTACATACATGCATACATAACTGAAAAACAAATCAAAGTAGTTTTTAACAATAAAAATGAAAGCTTTTAAGGTCTCCGTAAATTTCTGCATTCTACAAAAACGCTAAACCAGAAAGTTAATTTATTCATTTTCTATAAACAACGTGTACAAAAGCATTCCATTACTCGCTCCACAATAGACAAGGACTTTGTTCTTCTCTACTATGAAATACTCAAAAATCCTTTAAGAGATCTGACCGCTTTGCCATCTACTTGAATAAGAAATACCTCTAGTGCACAGCGTACCTTGAGAGTTTGGCTCTGGCAATGTCTCTCTAGCCACCAAATGCATCACTGTTGTTTTACCAAAAGGAAGTTTTAATGCTGCAAAAGGAAAAAAAGAGATTTGTTAATGCATTATAGCAGCCTTCTTTCTTCAAAACACCTGGCTGAAACTAACTACAATTGGATTAGCATCTGTTCAAAAGTTCATACTGCTAGGTTTGAACTACTTACTAAATAGATTTATAAAGGTGTTTCTAGGTTAGTGTTTTGTAGATCAGGGTCTTGAGACCTGATAAAAATCACCTAAAACACTGTGTTCTTAGATACATGATATTCCTGTTAGGAAACTTAGCCTTCCTCTTTTGAGTAAAAGTAGAAGCGGGCATTCATGCCAAGACTCAGGAGTTAAGTGTCCCAACTCAAAGTCTCAGCAGCTAAACACTCTTTATTGATAAGGATGCAAAAAAGTAGCTAATTTGGCCACTAAACTTTTACTCCCGAGACATCAAAACATTGAGCTGCTACTGCGCAACAGTTTTTCCTAAAACATACTTTGATATATGATACAGATTTTCCCAAATCCAAAATGTCTGCATCTTGCCTTTTAATATTAATCTGTTACATCAGCTGCATGTGAAAAATATAAAATTTAAAACATTTGAACTCAGATAAAGTAGTTCTCACAATGCTGCCTTTGTGAGCTTTGGTAACACAAAATAACAAAATTGGAGCTTTCCACAATTCATTCTGCTTATTTCTGAGACTAAAATGATCATTTTCACATTCTGATTTAAGTATACCAACACAGTAATGCATTTATGGTTTTAGCACTGCAGTATAACGTTTATCAAAACTTCTAGTCTCCTTGAAATGAAAGGATTCTTTGTTGCTCATTATATTTAGCAGATTCTCATGGCCAGATTCAGTATTCCGAACTTTGACTTCTTCCAATTATTTGGTATGAGGGAGTCATTTTTATAAGTTCTTTACATAACTTCAGTTTTGTTTCCTCTCTCCAATTCCTCAGATTAAGAAGCTTTCTTGATTGTTTTTCTGAGCAATGTAAGGTAAAGATGCTTTGTCTAGGTTTTGTCCTCCCTTCCTTATAGAGGAAAAAAAATGTTAGTGGTAAATGTAACAAAAATTGAACCCTAAATACACAAATCATTCTGACTTCGATAGAATTTCTGCCCTCAAATTCAATTTACACCTTCTATTTTCACATACAGGGTACCACGGCATTTTAAGTGAATAAATGAATAATGAATGTCCAATAAACCTGAAGGTAATCACTATAGCATTTTAATCACGACAAATTCAAAACTCAGTAAGAAAAAAATAAAAATAAACATAGTATTTGGTTACTACATGTATTCAATATGAGCCTAGCTACAGCACTGTTATTAAATCATGTTCATTGCCTATGTATTTGTTTGAAAACACAGGTGTAAAAATAGGGAGGGATACACAGTTCCACCAGCTTCTCTGAAGTAGCTGTACTTTTGAAAAAGCCATCTCTAGAGAGTCAAGCCTGAAAGTTGCTTGGTTTACTTCAAGCACTGCCTGTGCCTGCAACCAGAAGCTATTATTAGCTTAAAGTCTGACAATGATGAAGTGTTTTGAGTACTTGATTCTGTGATACAACTGAGAACTCTGCAAAGAACACATTAATAGTCTGTTAAACTCAATGGAAAAGGATTATCTTCGTGACAAACTCTTAAGAAGCCATTACACAAAGAGCAAAATACTACAAACTAATCACATTAGGGACATCTTTTATGATATCAAGACACTTAAGGAGACTTGATTAGTGAGCTGGGGAGATTAATTATTTACTGTAATCAAGTAAAAGTATGCTAATATTTCAATTAGCTAATCTCAGCTAGTAGTTTGCACAGTTCACACAAGTTCTTATGAGCAATTTCCAGCTTCTTGCTTGGAGCACCATGACAGAATCTGAGCACCCCAACCAATGTTCAGTAACCCTTTCTTGCTCTTGCCTTCATTCTCTCACCTCCTCCTCTCACTTAAACTAAACTTTTACTTCATTCCCTTCCCACCTGTTTTAATTCCACTTTTATTGCAGATTTTCTATTGTCAGAATTTACTTTTCACCCCCTCTTTTTGTACGTGTATGGCACAGGGTGGGTTGGCTTCCCTTTCCCCCTCCCCAGTAAACCAGGGAAACATTGCTGTTTACCATTATCTAACAAGAAGCAGAGAACTGTCAATTAGGTATCACCTCCCTAATTCATATTATTTCAAATGCTAACTGCAGACCAAATATTCAGCTAAAGGATGAAATTCCTGCTGGAAGCTGAGCAACAGACTCTGCCTTGCTAGCTAATTCCCCAACCCTTCACACAGGCAGGACACAACAAAACAGTGTTGGCTCAAGCACTGTGGGCAAGAGTGGCACCGCAAGCTTTACAGAGGGGTCTATTTTTCTTTGCCACTTTCAGTGCCATTAGTTCTACTGTTTTTGTAGTGACAGACCATTCAGAGAAGCTGGCAAGAGAGATAGTTTCTTTAAAATAAATTTTTTCCCCTCAAAAGTCAGTTTTCCCTATCAATTTGTTACTTCTTGAGCTTATAGGAGTCTCAAATTTCTAAGACACTATGTAGGCATGTGACATTACAATAAGAACATTATAGTATCATTTTTAAATGTGAACAAAAATGGGACTCCCGTTAAAAAAGAAAACACCAAGCTGTTTCCTGGGAAACTTTTGTTTCACTAGTTGATAAAGTGACTTTCAGTACACAGTAGGTCCAAATTCCAGTCAATATTTCCTATTATCTAAAGCAAATAAAACAGTGAGCTAACTCAGTTATAGAGAGCTGCAGATAGAAAAGCTTAATGGAACTATATAATAAAAGCATGAGAAACTAAATATTGTATTTAGCAAGAAATTCCTCCCCTCTCCCCTTTTCAAGATAACTAGTTCACTTAGGGTTACATCTAATGAACACCATAAACGGAAGCAACAGTCTTTTCAGGCTGCTTCATGAATTGCCATTCCCCTTTGAGCTGTATAATCTTACTCCAGATAACTTCATTAGTACTGAAGTCAGTCAATGTTTCAGGAATCTTTTTTTTTTTCTTCTTAAAACAATACGTTAACAGATGATATTTGAAAACCACTAATATATATGTAAGTTCTTTGGGGTAAAATCACGATGATTAAATTGCAAAGCTTGAATGGTTAAGAATGAACTAAAATGCCCTGAACCCAAGTAAGTACTCAAAATCCACAGACCTGACTTAACGCAAGAGTCAACAGCATGCAGCTCTTATTTTTCAGTTTAACTTGTTAAACAATATTTTAAATATATTAAACAAGTTTTCGAAGTTGTTTCAGATTTAGACAAATGTCACTAAAGGGAACAAGCATTGATAGTCAAGAGTAACACTCAGAGATGAGTAGCAAAGAAAATCCCATCTAGCTATCCTTGCCTGAAGAACGTAGGGTAAGACTAGCATCTCTACAATTGCTGAGATGATACAAGACTTAACATTTGTCTTTCAACCCTACTCCAGCTGCTACTAGCTGCACTCACTGACACCTGCTAAACAGACCGATTAAACAGTGAATAAAGTTTCAGAGTTCTCCCAATTCAACTGGCAGTGTTCTTGTTTGTATATACAGCAGCATTAAAAACTGATTTACATAGAGGGTAAATCTATTCTAAAAGAACGTCACTAGCCAACATCAGTAATGGTAGAAAGTGAAACAATGGCTATGTCATCCCAGCCACTTCTTCATGGAAAGACCACTGTAAGCAGTCCAGAAATATTCTTTTCAGGTTCATCTTAACTTCAAAAGCATTTCATTAGTGATTTTGTATTATATTCTCTTCTCTATATTGTATTCAAGTACCAAATGCGTGAACAATCTGAACACACTGAGAAAGTAGGAGTATTTATTTTTAAACTGGCACAGAGAAGAGAGTCTCATTTTGTTTAGTCATTGATACAGTTGATATTCACAGTGGCAATTTTTATCTACAAAAGGAAATATTATTGTTACAAATTTGCGTCATATCTATCAAAGACACCCATCAAAATATCTAATTGTGGAAAAAAAATTGCCACAAGGGGGCATAGTTGAATTGCAGTTCCTCAGCAAATGAAGTGAAGCCATTTACTTTTGTTTTCGCATAACTATGCAATTGTATCCCTGGGAGAGCACTGGACAGCAAGAATGCTTTCCCTCATTCTCATTCATAGGGTGTCTTCCTTCATTGCACTAAGATTTAAAGTATTGTTTAACCAATTATCATAATCTTTATCAAACTTTTTAAAATACTTCAGACAATTATGAAGAAGCTTACCCTGAAAGTGCAGTGTAAGAGAGGTGGAACAAAGTATTCCATTTAGAAAGACACCAAATAAAAGCAACATTACTGTTTCTTTATGCAAGAGGAGACTTGACTTACCAGGTGGTACCTCCCAAAGTTTAACAACTAGTGGTAAGGAGATGGGAAAATACACAATAAGATACAATGTCACTCTATGCAGAAGAAAAATAGTATATAGCAAGCCATACTGTGATCTTGAGCAGTAAAGTAGTATTTAGTGCACTGTAAATAAGTATGCCCTTTGCCTGGCCGTAACATGGACGAAATTTATTTTCATACCTCCTAGTGTCACATTGCCATGAAGAAACCTCCCTTGATAAATAAGCCGCAAGATATTTGGACTGCTGACTTGTTCTTCTTCCCAATCTGAAAAGAGGCAAGAGAATTTTCACAGTTGTGTTGTAATAAAACCATGTTTTGTTATTTCTCTCACCTTTACCCAGGAAGAAAACGAAGAGCAGCACTCTTGCATGAAACACTAAAGGGAGCATAGGCTGAAGATACAGAGACATAATTCAAGGCTAGCAGTCCCAAAATCTATTCTTAAATTTATTATTTTACATCAGGCGTCGAAACATCAATTTTATGCCTGCAAGCATAAATAATACTAACTTACTTCAGATTGCATGAAATAATTTAGCATGTATACAAGTCCTACATGAGCTGTTTCATAAATGCAAGTTGCTTCCTGAGGCTCAATATCCACTTGGCTAAAACTGCTTTCATTTCTTGCCATTCAGAAGACTGTCAAGCCGCACTCCTCCCCACCAGCTGACTGTCTAACCGGAGCCGCTCTCCAGCAAGGGGGAGCAGCCACACACAGAGCAAAAGCGCGTGTGATGAGCCGTTTGAAACAGGATTCGTGGAGCAGGGCACTACAAAAGCTCCGCAGGCCGCTCAGCGGTGTTCGACGACGGCCCGACCCAAGCAGTTCGACGCCCGGAGGGGGCAGTGACCTGGGCAGCCCCTCACCGTCACCGCAGAGCCGGAACGGGGGGCTCACACGGCGCAGACACCGACGGAGACATTTTCAGGAACTTCCCAAAGGACAATCTGTGGATGTTTTTATGTGGCCAACAGCGATTCGGGAAAAGCAAGCATGCATTCTCCTATAATGCATTTCCTATAATGCTTGAGCTGTCATAAATAATTTATAAGCTTAAATGATCTTTTCCTACTCTTTTACTGTTGCTGTCACAATATGAACAACAAATAAATATGCACTTTGCTTTCAGAACAAATATCATAAAACCTCATAATGTTGAATTTAAATGGGCCCTCTGGGAATACACTGTCTTCTGTTTCTTAGCTGACCAGATATCTGGCAACAGCTGTTCACAAATGTTTTCTCTTTCTGCTTTTGTAGTGTTTATATACCAAAATGAATATTCAGTAAGGGATCACAACAAGCAACAGAAACCAACCTGTTCACTGGGAACATACAATTAACATATGGGCAGTAGCAACTGGCACCACAAAAGGGGAGTAACTAAAAAGGGGAAGCACTGAAAACAAAAGCCACACGGCTGTGGAGAGTGTACAGGAAAGGCAGCCGGTGTGAGAACGCCAGCAGGCAGAGATACGGGCAGCGGGAGCCAGGGCAGCCCCACAACACAGCAGAGGCAGGGCTGGTATCCACAGCACGGGCTGCAGTATCCCCGGGTGCTGCCATGTGCCTAGTTTGTAAGATTAGATCAAATGAGGCAACCGAAGCTTTTTGAATTTCAAGGATTTACACTCCGGATCTGATTCAGTTTTCTTGCAATTCAAGAACATGCCCTTTTTGCTATGCTGTGAAGTGAGCTACATTAAAGATCTAAATTATCACATCGATAGTACGGTAAGCAATTTTTTGGAAGATACCAAATTTATTTTTTTTTATTTTTTTTTTTACTCCATACAGTCTGAACTCCACTATACTATGGCTGTAAGGAGAAGTTCAGCCAGCTTACAGTGTCATAATGACGTAAAAAAGCAATCAAAAGAAGACAGAATGTATTTTGGCACAGGTATTTGCTCATTGTTAAGCTGCCAATTTACCCATCCTTTTAATTTTTGCTTCTTGGCTGGCAGTCTGAAACATTTCTTTCTGACATGATTTCAAATTTTAATTTCCACTGATGACTAAATGAGCCAAGGAGGAAATATTTACCTACTTTTTTTATAAAAAAAAAAAAAGTTCAGCGGATAATTGTTGTACAAGAACAAATTTAATATTATTTAGAAGAAAGGAGGAGAAAACAGATAACCTACCTAGATGATATACATGAACATAAATTTGGCATTTTCCACTACAAGTCAAGAGAATCTTAATTAACAACTGTATTGCCAAAAGAGGGGAGGAGAGGTTTGCCTTAATACTGCCAGCCTGTGACTGAGGATATTTTGTTACTACTCTTCCTCACACCATCATGACAAGTCAAAATGGTGGTAAACACAATAATTTCATATCAACTCTGTTTCAGGGAAACTGTAGTCCTCATCAAGATTTCTCAGTCCTGTGGCAAAGAAGTGCAGTCTCAGTCTGAAAACAGCTAGTGGGCTAACATTTGTGAAAACCTATACACTATTCTGAAGTAGATTTTTCCTCAGTCTTTTAAATTGACACTATTCTTCTTTGCACAGGCAATTAAATATTCATCAAGATATAGAGCACTCCCTCAGGACAGCAGGTATTTGAACTGAGGCCCCCATGTATGGTTCTACTTTTCCTTTAAAAAAAAAAAGAGATGTTAAAAGTCTGGGTTTCCTCCCAAATCTCAACTCAGAATCTGCAACCTTCAAGCTCTTCACAAGGCTGGGAACATGAGACTACACGTTCAGGAATAAACTTGAGTAAAACACAACACAGTTCTGCCTTTACTAATTCAGATAAAAGTACACAAAGAACATTTGGTCATGATGACTATGTTGCAGGCACACATTAAAATATGTACAGTAGCTACACAGATGCTGTATCAAGCAGATTTCTTAGTGTGTTTTACACCTATATCTAATACTTCAGAGGAGTAAAAACCTCCTCCTTCATTAGGTATTTTAATAAATACATAAGGATGCATATTCCAGCAAAACAAACAGCAAACAAGTCCCCTGAAACCCTGTACTTCCTGATCTCAAAGACCAGTTCAAGGCCTAAAATATGGATTATCAACACTTTTTGTCATGAATTGTTATCTACCATACCCCTTTGACAAAGGCACCACAGAAACAGATAATCACTTTCTGTAAATAGTACTCTTTTTTAACATCAAAACAGTAACTCAAAGTCCTGTACCAAAAGCAGCATTTTCTTTCATCATATGTAATGCTATGTCTGTGTTTTGGCTATTTTCCCATGAAATCATAGTCAGAGAGAGCAGAAGTACTTTGCTTTTGTGGCACTATTAACATATGTTATTACACATCTTAAGTTTTCAATTCCCTTTTCCAAAGTTTGTAGTCCTGCATAACACTAAATATATTGATACAAACAACCTCAGTTTCCCTCAGCCTTTTAATGTACCTTAAAATGTTCTTTTGTTTTACTTGTTCCTGAAAAAAAAACATTATTACAGATCTTTTCCAAGATAAGGTAGTAAGGAAGAAGCACTTCAGACTCAATTTCACTAATGCATTCCTGTGACATGCCATGTTTTACATTAGCTGCCCTCACATAAGAGGTTTTCTATCTCCACGCTTCTATCTTCTATCTTCACACTTACTAGATCCTCTACCAAGATCGATCAAGAAAAGTGCCCAAAGATAGGGGGAAAGTAGTACTTCATTTTGGGATAGCAAATTTTAGAAATAAAGTGGGAAATAGTCCACACATCTAAAAAATCTGCCCAACCAAAGAAACAGAGAAAATGAGGCAAGACGACAATTGGATTTCTATATAAATCTATGCCTAGATACACAATAAACATACTTAATTTGAACACGGAGAACAGAGATTGGTTTACTGACACTTTAGTCTGAAAATACAGGGAAGCTCCTAGCCCACCAGTTGAAAAGCCAAAGCCACATATTTACTCACCCATCGGCCAGTTGTCATACACATGTTTTGCAATATCTGCAGCAGAATCATTTGGTGAAAATAAGAACTCTTTCGTTTTCCCACTTACCAAGATGAGGCGCAAATTTATCTGTTAAAAAAAATAAAAATAAATGCAGTATTAGGAAAGTATCTAGAGAAGACTTTTTTTTTAAAAGTTTCTAGAAAGTTGCCATTGGTTTTAGGAGAAGATTGTTCCAAAGTGAATTGAGAAAACAGTTTAAGATGGTGTTAAAATTAGGGTCAAAGAGGTCAATAAAATTTTGTTTACACATAATCTAGGAAGATTAAATTCCTACAGCTGGCATTTCTTATGATAAACACCAGACGATTCTGATTGGCAGCAATTGAATCAACTGTTCCATTAAAAAGCACACAAACACTTTCAGCAGAGTATAAAAAAAAATTCCAGCCAAGACACACGGACGACATATCTTCTTGAATGAAGAGGAAAAACATAAACCTGACAAATTAACTTGGAATGGAGAGTACTAAAAATATCAAAATCTGCATCTGAACAGCCTGTGAGCCTCAGTAAAAGCCCGAGCACCGTCCCTCCAGTATAACATTTGTCAGGCCTGATCTCACCCGCTGCATCCCCTACAAAACACCAGGGAGTCAGACAGCATCCTTCCCCAGTCCCAGCTGCCACACAGCTCACATCTCTCTGTCAGTCTTCTGAACCCAAAACTTTGTTCCATCACTGTCTTTCCCTGCAAGCAAAGTGGCTGAGATCCACACGCAATACAGCAGTAGCACCACATCATAGTTTTTCTATCATCAATTTCCTTTACCTAACCATCAGCATCTTCAGCTATAATTCTTCTCTCTTCTATTTGCAAGTTACTGAATATGACTTCTTTTCCATACAGCATTAAAATAACTCATATAAAGAGCTCACTATTACATTACTTACAATGCATTACTTACAATGAAAAAAAGATTAAATTCTGGCTCCTGAAGCAACTGCTAGCAAGGTCACAATATTTGATTGGGTAGCTAGCACTTACCAATGCCCATGGCAAGTAGCAGTCTAGCTGTTTACGTGTTTTAGCCTACAAGCCTTAATTGCACCAACTTTTAACAAGACTTCAGCATACTAACTGCTTAGATAGCTTTTTCCAAATCACGCTCAAACTGTGGTGCTCATTTTAAGTTAAGTTGGTTGCAACAAAGCACTCCCTGTTGAAATGAAGTAAACTGTCTTTTAGATCAAATACAAAGGGAAAAGTTTACAGTGATGCCCAAGTTTTCAAGACTTCTTCAGGGTCAAAAATCTTAGCACATCATATCCACTGAACATGACAGCCCTGCTTCAGCTACCTACTAGTCACCACTTATTTCAGAAGCTCTCCAGACAGACTGTCTTTTTTTTCTTGAATGCTTTGGCTTGGATTCATCCCACCTACCTTTAAGTACCTAATGGAGGTATCCAAATGACAATCTCTATCATCCTGCACACTTCAAGGTCAAAGAAGAAAATGAACCCTCCAAAACCCAATTCAGTCTCTATTTCAAAGTGTAGTAAGGATAAAAGGAGCTAGTATAAAAGTGCTCGGTTCTGTTCCCCTGCTAACACCCTTCAGAAAATATGAGTTTCGCCATTAGCCCAGGAAAGAAAACAAGTGGTAGCTGTCTCTGAGAAAGCACCAGTTACTGTAAGAGTATTGCTGCATACCAGGAAATCGCAAAAAAACTTAAAGGAGAGAAGCTGCAGGAATGCTGTTTAGTCAAATACAATCATTCATAAAATTCAGAACACATCTGACTATAAAGTTCGATTTTCTTTGATATTTCCAGAATGATTAAGGAATTCTTTTCAAATCTCACCAAGGTTTAGCAGAAGCAGCAGACCAAGTTCCACTATTCCTGTTTACTCCAAAAACCCAACTACTGTAACAAATTACAATTTCAAAATGTTATGCCTAAATTTAGGAATGGCCAGACTATGTCCACTTGTTGTTTTGCTTATATTGTCTTTCAGTTTCCATAGTTTCCCCCCTCTTAGTTGTCTCCACCTGTGTATGTATAGACAACACTTATATACAGAGTTGCTTTATCTGAACCACCCAAGACAAGCTTTTCACGCTTCCCCTAGTGAGATACCCATTTCCCCATTCATCCTAAGAGCCCGTCTCTGCACATTTCAATTTATTTGCTTTTCTCCTCAAAACAGATGACTATGTCTGAAGCATACTAAATGATGTCTCACTAGATGCTTGTATAACACCACCACTAATTTCCTCTGTCTACTGGAAACATCTTCTGTGATTATGTCCCAAGAGCACATACACCTTCATAACTGCACTGCACTGTCTGCTCAATTATTTCATACCGTTCTCTACTTCAATCCCTTCAATCATTCAGCCTCCAAGATTATTACTGACATTTTGGCCATAAAGCCCTAAAGCACAAGGCTCCAAATTTCATCCCACTCCTATCCCTCCTAGGGAAAGGAGGCTAGGTGGAAAGAAGTATTCTGCACCACAGACGTTTCAGATCTCCCCCATGTCTGGGCCCATGGCCTATGAAATCCCCCCCCAAACTTCTCTATAACACTTCTTTCTCTCTACATTAAGAGCATTTGTCAAACTTCCTGTCACCAATAAAATCTATCAGCAAGTTCCCTTTACATGTGCCTTCGTCATTAAATGAACCAGGAAACACGAGACTGATCTGACAATTGATCCATAACTATTCCAATTATGAGCTCTCTCTGAGCTGCCTTCCCCCTCCTCTCAGCTAGGTCCTTTACATTAGGCCCTTATGCATACTCACAATTTCTCTATTAAATCCTAATTTCTCTATTAAATCCTAATTTCTCTATTAAATCCTAATTTCTCCCATTTAACCAACAGTTTGCAATACGGCAGTAAGTTGTTTTCATCAAAAGTCAACTTGCCATGCTCCAGGTTTCAGGAGTGGTGTACTGTGTTGCATTCCACTTTCTCTATAGCTCATTATCTTTAATTATCCTTTAAGCATTAATGCATCTCATTACAACACCAACATAGTGCCAAAAATTTAGGAGGTTTAGACTGCATCACAAACTGTTATTGTACTTGGGAATGGGCAACATGTTTAGAAAACAAACCAACCAACCAATGCCAAATATTTGGCAGCAGTGCCTGCTGTAGACACTAGTGGTGAGGAGTTTCTTCACCAGAGGCCCTCCCTGCACCCATTTCCTCTACTCTGGCTCCTGAGACACCCCCCTTAGTTTGCTCCCCCTCACCAAGCAGTCCCCCCAACTCTGACTTTAGGCAGGTTATCTAAGGATTTATTTTCCTTCATCTGTGTATAGTTTATCTGTGGTAGGGATTACCTATTTTGAAGATCGTAACACCTCCCTAGGCAGTAGACAAAACACCAAACCATCAGGTCCCTAAAATGTCTGATTTGTATCCTACACGGAGATGATTTAAAAAACCTCAGATCAGTCCTGCTCACCACTTAAAATAATATTAGGGCACAGCATTAATATAGAACTAAAGTTACTCTTCAATTAGCATAACATTAAGGAGACATTTCTTTCTAATCTCACTGCTGAGTTCTGAGATTACCAAGCACACTAAAGTGAAAACAGAAAGGAAAAGAATATCAGAGAAATGACCAAAACTAACTTAGCTTCCTGGAAAATCTGACTAAGTCATACTTCTGCAGTTAATATACAATGTAAAAATCAATATAAGCAACAGGGAAAAAAAATGAAAAATGTTAGTTCCTTCTTTTGCCCCTACCTCTCCAAGATGGGTAACTTAATAGTGCTGAAGTCATTTTGTGGCATTTCTTATAGTCTCACTATGAATGATAAAAGGCACATCAAGATAAACTAATAATTTTACAGGACATACTACAAAGTATGTGTCAAGTACAGGAGGAATATTTTCATTAACAAAAACCAAAAATCAGAAGCCCAAAATAAATCCTGAAATTGGTCAAGTAGATGTTGCATCAAGTGCAAAGAAACAGCTGCACTAATGAAAGGTTAAAGTATTTTCTTATTTATAGTACAGCATGCCACTGACACATTTAGTTTGCATGTTTGTGTGTGTATATATATATCATATATATATATATATATATATATATATCTTTATAGTTCTTAATCTTGGCTTGAAGGTATCTTAGTCTTGAGTTGCACATCACAGTACCTCAAAGGGTTTGAAGCAAAGAATCCCCAAAATCGCCTTTAAGAGTCTAATCTCATTCCCTTCAAGAACATTAGGAAATGTAATGGCTTGTAAATGCTGTACTACTTACTCTGCAAGCCTGAGAACCCCACTTCAAACAAACTATAGAGGATCTGAAACAAACCTTTCTGGCAAAATGCCACTAATGAAAGTTTATATCTAAAGGAATAATAATAATAATAATAAAAAGAGAATATTTTTATACAGATTTACTCAAAGGAAAGCGCAGAAGAAAATCTTGGTTAGGTAGAGAAGTTATGACACAAAAGCAGCAAATTTTAATTTTTCAAGTTACAAAAGGATTCTTAGTGGTCTTAAGCTACACTGTATCTTATTTGCTATGTTAAAAGTTATCAAGGAAGTTGTATCTATATGCCTAAAGCCCCCTCCACCTATTCATGTCAAATGAGTCTTGGTCCTGAGACACTTTGGCAATTCTCATGGCCCTGACAAATTTGGTCTTCTACAGGGGACATAACAAGGACCACCCTGTTTTTATATCTTTTTGCAGGCTACCACAGGAAATTTCAGCCTTTTGCTACAGTAAACTGATAAGGATCACATCCTCACACTTCTACATTATAGCATCAACTGCAACATTACTAATGAAAGCAGTTAAGAAGAGCCACCGTATCAGAAGTAGGATTAAATACAGTTTGTGGACCACATCCCCTCTACATCATGATTTATCAGCACATTCTGTTTGTGATCTCAAGCATGCAAACCTCACCCTCTCTCTCCCCCCGCACCACAACCAACACCAATCTCAATTACAGCTCCAGTAACTACCCCATCAGTTGCATTCCATATACAATACAGAATTTCAATGTAGATTATATATTGTAAACCAAAAAACCACCCCACCATAAATTAAAATGCAAACATTGTGGTAACAACT